GACAGCCACAGGGATGATGGTGGGGTGGGTGGAGGTGGGGTGGATGGTGACAGTGATGGTGGTGGTGATGGTGACAGCCACAGGGATGATGGTGGTGTGGGTGGAGGTGGGGTGGATGGTGACATTGGTGGTGATGCAGTTCCTAATGGGTGTTTTCTTTTCCTCTCTGCATTGTCTTCCCGAAAGCAGAGGGGAGAGACTCCCCCCTTGCCTCCCCCGTGTCCAGGGTGCCTGTGAAGAGCGTTCAGAAGCCTCATTGCCACTCTCTGGTTTCTGTTTCAGGACATCGACTGGGTACAGACAGAGAAGCACGTGTTTGAGCAGGCATCCAGCAACCCCTTCCTGGTCGGGCTACACTCCTGCTTCCAGACCACAAGTCGGTAAGAAAAAGAAGGGCGTTTCTGATATTCTGCAGATTTCAGATTGGAACTGCACAGAAGCTGAGTCTGGTGTGACGTGTCACATGTCACCTCTGAGGTTCTCCCTGTGGCTGGGTGGGTGTTTTTAGGTCAGCAGGCTCTCTTTGTTGTTCTCCGTGGTTGGTGTCATGTTAAGTAAATTTCATGATCTGAACTTAGGTTATTTAATTCCATTTGCCACATATTTATGGGAGGCATCCCACGGAGTGCAGGCACTGGGTCAGGTGCCGGGGCTATGAAGGTAAGCGAGAGGGGGGGATTTCTGTGCTGCTTAAACACGTTCAGCTTCACTTTCAACCTTACATGTATTGGAATTCTGTGGCTTTGAAAACGTTTGAAAGCTAGTGATCTGAGATATTAAATGTATGCTTTGTTTAGCATTTTGGGGGCCATTTGACTTTGACCTACCTGATGTGTTTATTTGAAGAGTCATTGACTGTGTTCTGCGTTAAGTCATCAAGACCATCCCCACGTGTGATGATGTGCTGGGAGGACTCCTGGTATTAGTCATGTGGCTGCACTTGGGGCCACAGCTGGTGCCCTGCACCGGAGGGATAAAGGAGACTTGGCCAAGGAAAAAGGCTCATGGGGAGAATTCCAGAAGAAACCAGTCCAAGTTCCCAAGAGCCCTCTCCCAGTTCGTCCAGCAACGAATTGTGATGACTCAGGGTTTTTGTCGAGGGCTTGTTGTGCCGACTCTTGCTATCTGACACAAAGCAAGATTCCAGACTCCCAGCCGGAGAGCAGGTGGTCAGCATTGCGTTAGTCAGAGTTCTGCTGAGAAACAGAAAGAGTAGTGTGCCCGTGTGAGTGTGTGTGTGTATGTGTGTGAAGAGATTTATTGGAAGATATTGGCTCATGAGATTATAGAGGCTGAGAAATCCACAATCCACCATCTGCAGGCTGGAGGCCCGGGAGAGCCTGTGGCACAGCTTGAAGGCCTAAGAGCCAGGAGCCGATGGGGTGGATTCCAGTGCCAGTCTGAAGGCCTCAGAGCTGGGAGCAAGCGGCCCAGAAGGTGGCTAGCTCGGTAGTCAGGAAAACACAGCCTTGCTCCCCTTTCTTGTTCTCTTCATGCCTCCGGGGGACCGGACGATGCCCGTCTGCTTCAGGGAGAGCCATCTGCTTTACTCAGTCTACAGACTCTTCCAGAAGCACCTTTACAGGCACACCCAGAAATCACCTGCAGCCAGCTGTCGGGCTCCTGTGCCCAGTCAGGGGCCGCAGAATTCACTGTCACAAGTGCAAGGCATCCTGTTCACGCACACACAGTTTGGGTGCAGTGAGCAGCTTTTTTTATTCCAAAGCTTTTTAACGTGTTTCTGTTGTTCATTTTGAGTCAGAGTCTCGCTCTGTCACCCAGGCTGGAGGGCAGTGGCACCATCTCAGCTCACTGCTGTCACCGCCTCTGGGGTTCAAGCGATTCTCCTGCCTCAGCCTCCCGAGTAGCTGGGAATTATAGGCACCTTCCACCATGGCTGGCTAATTTTTGTATTTTTAGTAGAGACAAGGGTTTCACTATGTTGGCCAGGCCAGTCTTGAACTCCTGACCCCAAGTCATCTGCCCTCTGCGGCCTCCCAAAGTGCTGGGATTATAGGCATGAGCCACCATGCCCAGCCCCCAAAGCTTTTTTTTTTTTTTTTTTTTGAGATGGAGTTTCACTCTCGTTACCCAGGCTGGAGTGCAATGACGCGATCTCGGCTCACCGCAGCCTCCGCCTCCTGGGTTCAGGCAATTCTCCTGCCTCAGCCTCCTGAGTAGCTGGGATTACAGGCACGCGCCACCATGCCCAGCTGATTTTTTGTATTTTTAGTAGAGACGGGGTTTCACCATGTTGACCAGGATGGTCTCGATCTCTTGACCTCGTGATCCACCCGCCTCGGCCTCCCAAAGTGCTGGGATTACAGGCGTGAGCCATCGCGCCCGGCCTATGCTTTTTTTTTTTTTAAATAAAGATGGGTCCTGCTATGTTGCCCAGCATGGTCTCAAACTCCTGGGCTCCCGCCTCAGCCTCCCAAAGTGCTGGGATTACAGGCGTGAGCCATCGCGCCCGGCCTATGCTTTTTTTTTTTTTAAATAAAGATGGGTCCTGCTATGTTGCCCAGCATGGTCTCAAACTCCTGGGCTCCCGCCTCAGCCTCCCAAAGTGCTGGGATTACAGTTGTGCGCCACTATGCCTGGTCGTTATGCAGAAGCGTTTTATGTCGGTATAGGGCATTGTTTGCAGTTCACGTTCCCAGCCCTAGCTCCGGGCCAGCTTTTCGGGCTGGGCTTCCTGAGCACAGGGGTCCCGGGCCCTGGGTACCACCCTCTGCTGCCCGGTTCTGATCTGTACGCCTGGCATCTTGTGCCCCTCCACTGCGCTCTCTGCACTCCTGACCTCAGGGTCCTGTTCCTGCCTCTGCTCAGCAGCCACCTGTCTGTCCCACGAGCTGGTGTGACCTGGCTGTCCCCGCCCTGCCCCGCCTGCTGTGCCTCTCTGGTCGGGTTCTTTTCTCACTGCTTCCACCGCCTCAGTGTGTTTCAGGGTCCCCCCGCCACAACCCGACCCAAGGGCTCTCCACTGTCGGCTTCCCCATGTTGGATCTGAGCCATATGTGACAAACAGAGATCTGAGTGCCTTTCTCCTGCCTCAAAGCTCCTCTCATTTCCTCCCCTCTTACTTCTGGGGTAAACTCCAAGTTTCTTGTGCATGTAGATGAGGCTCGTGGTGACCAGGCCCCGGTGTCCCATGCCCCAGTGCATGCTCTGGCATGGCACTTCCGCCCACGCCTGACGGCTCTGTCCCCTTTCCTCCCATACCCTCCTTCCCAGAAAGAGTCAGTGCTCCCTTTGTGCGCTCCCATCACACTTTTCCAGGCCTCTGTCCTTGGCGACTGCCATCCATTGTGATTTTGGAATAAGCTCGGGGAAGGCGGCCCCATGCCCCCGCGCTTCCTGAATGGGAAGGTTCCGAGAAGGGTTTTGTTTCACTTTGGTTCCTTTTCCTGTGTGAACGCGTAGGGAAGTAGATGTAAAGGGGTCCAATGTCCCACCCTCACTTCCACCCAAGTGGCCCAAAGCGCAGCCCCTTCTGCACTTGAGTCTGGAATCTTCTCCCAAGTCACAGGTTCCTAGGTCCATAAACTCAAACTGAAAGAATTGCCACCTGTGGGGTGTCTCCATGGGACCCCCGCAGCAGCACGACTCACTGTCCTGTGGCAACGTGTGGCATGCACAGTTGGAAGGCCGCATCCCGGGAGTGATTCCTACACATGTCCAGTTGTTTTGCCTTTTTTTCTTTTTTTTTTAAACTGAATCTTTTAGTGACTCCCAGAGTATCTGACATGTGGTTGGTCAGGGCAGCCTGTCTCTCCCCAGCTGTCAGGAGTCGGCTTTAACCCCAAAGTTAGCTACAGGCCTGTCTCCCTCAGGAGATGCGAACTCCTGAAGAGTGGGACCCTGCTGTCTGTTCTCTAGTCCCCAGCATTTGACACCTGACACTTAGTTGCAGTGGTATTAGATGTCAGTCTCTTAAAAAAAAATTGAAAAGTGACATCATCGTTTCTCATACAAATAGAACATGGACATGTGTCAGACTGTATGTAACTCTCTAGTGAACTAGGGGACTAGTAAGATGTTACAGCCGCTCAAAGGAGTCTTCGGAGTCCGCACAGACACAGGTGATCGGCCGCCAAGGTGGAGAAACAGAGAGACGCGGAGTCGTAGAGAGACGCGGAGTCACAGAGAGACGCGGAGTCACACAGAGAGACGCGGAGTCGCAGAGAGACGCAGAGTCACACAGAGAGACGTGGGGTCGCAGAGAGACGCGGAGTCGCAGAGAGACGCGGGGTCGCAGAGAGACGCGGGGTCACACAGAGACGCGGAGCTGGCTGGGGCCGGTGGGAACTGGCCATCTGCATGGACCGGCCTTGCTTGCTCACCTGCGTTGCTTGCACTGCTGTCGGTTGTGTGCGCCTTCCGAGTTGGGAAATACCTGAGAGATCCCTGCGGACCCCACAGAAACAGACACCCGAGAAGAGTGTGTCCCCGACAGCTCCAAAGCCTCTTGCAGTGTTTCCTGATGGCAGCACAGCCGAGGTCCAGGTGCACGTACCTGTCAGCTCTGCGGCCCCTCACCTTGGGACCCTTGGCACCCCCATTTCCTCCCTGGAAACAGACAGCAGGTGCGCCCTCCCCATGCAGCTGCTGTGGGGATTGGTAAAGCGGGGACCCAACTGTCGACAGCGAGGCAGGTGCGTGGGGACCCGCTTCCTCGTCGTGGGGGCCTTTCTTCTGGTTGGCACCGTGTGTTTGAATGGTCAGACCAGTAGTGTTGTGTGTGAGCTCTGGGTTGGGGGTAGGACTGGCCGCTGCCTGAGTCAAATGCTGGGGAGCTGTGAAAACTCCCACAAATCCTCACTGACTGCACAGCTCTGGACACCCACCTGATGTTCACCGGAACATCCAGCTAAGGTTTTGCCTGGGCCTCTGGCTGAGGGCCAGGTGAATGACACGCAGGACAGGACACCCATTCACTCTGGGCGGCCTCACGGCTCCTGGGCCACGTCGGGGGAAACCTGGGGAATGAAACTGCAAGGGTTTCCACACAAGCTTGGTTCTCACAAAGGGTCTCCGAGTGGGAAAAAGTCAGAATTGCAGTCTGGGCGCGGTGGCTCACACCTGTAATCCCAGCACTTTGGGAGGCCGAGGTGGGCAGATCACGAGGTCAAGAGATCAAGAACATTCTGGCCAATGTGGTGCCCCGTCTCTACTAAAAATACAAAAATTAGCCAGGCATGGTGGTGAATGCCTGTAGTCCCAGGTACTTGGGCAGCTGAGGCAGGAGAATCACTTGAACCCGGGAGGCAGAGGTTGCAGCGAGCCAAGATCACACCAACTGTACTCCAGCCTGGGCAACAAAGCAAGACTGTCTCAAAAAAAAAAAAAGAAGTCAGAATTGCTTCCTTTTTGCCCCAAA